AAGTGACACGCAACTAAATGTAAATGTCAGATGAACCGCGAACGGGTTTGTGTGGCTGCGTTTCCAACGTCGCGTGGAATAAGCTGGCATTAAAGGCTATGTATTGCCTACCTGAAATTCAAGCCTAGCTGGGCATGCCATAACAGCGTTTGTTTTTGTAAGTCTTACAACTATTTGCTCACAGGGTGGACAGCCTTGCCGGGCTCTCACCACTTCCCTTCCTTCCCTCTTCCCTGCCCGCCGCCTGCCTCGACTCCCCCTCCCTGGAACCACAAGCTGATCCCGCAGAAGCCTTGGTCTTAGGCTAAGACACTTTTTTTCAGCCTTCAAAGGAAAAGACTCAGTTTTTGAAAACTCCATTCAAAAGGAAAATTCTTTTAAACCCTCTTTAACCCAAATCGCCAGCGACTCCCCCCTTGTACTGATGCTGATCTGGGTTGCTGCAGTCTGGGTGGAGGGCGAACTCCCTACTCCACAGCAGCCTTCAATTCCCCCTGTAGCCTTCACGCCTTCTGACGAGAGGAGGGGTATTTAGTGCTTAAGCAGGAGCTCTCAAACTGGCCCAGTTAAGTCACCTGTGCCCTACTTTAGCAAAACGCGTTTGAAATCTTCAGCTCCATGACAACAAAACCTCCCTTTACAAAATGATGTAAGAAGCCCAAGGAGAGGAAAGCATTCCCCCCGATGGGCTAGTTTTAGCTTCTAGAACTTTCCTTATTCACGACAGACTGAAGCGTGCCTCCATAATGTGCCAGTTACTTGGAAGGTGTCTCTCCGGTGAGCAAAACCCTCCACAGGCATTCTTGTGGGGCGGAGGCCAGTGGCGGAGAGTCTGCCCTCAGTGGGAAATTTATAAAGTTTTAGTTGGGTGGAATGGGTGAAAAGGGATCCCCCCAACTGTAAGTTGAGGTAGCAAGGAGATGAGGGGCTTTGATAAGGAGGTGGTGGGTGTACATTTTGTGCCACTGTGTAACGTGTGCTCTTCCTGCCAGCCGCCTGGGTCCTGGAGCTGCTCAGCCCCCAAATAACACACGAAACACTATATTAATTATGAAGCTGTTGGCCATTTGCTTGGTTTCTTATCGGCTAGCTCTGAGTTAATTATTATTAGCTCCTGTAACTGCTAATCCGAGTATTTCCACGCAGTCTTTTCTTACCTCTTACTTCTCCCGTCCTGCATCCTGGCTGACTGCGTCTCTGTTTCCCAGAATCCTCCTCCACTCCTAGTCCCACCCATCTTGCCTCCGCATTGGCCAATAGTGCTTCATTTAATCAACCAGTAGGACAACAGATACACAGAAGGACCCCCCTCCCCTCCCCCCCCACCCCCGTCACCATTGCTTGTTGCAAAACTTCGGAAATGAGGTTCCAGAGAGGCCACCCCCAAACTAAAGGCGCTTCATGCTTTCTGTATCTGGGCAGATCCTGCACTGTCCCTTGGAGTGGGGTGGGGCAGATTTTACTCACACTGCGGCTGGCTTATCGGGGTGCGGATGCGCAGAGACCACGCTACCTGCTCCTCTCTGAGGACCGCAGGCTGATTCCCCCTTAGGTCATCTCAGGTTACTATCCTGCCCCCACAGCATCAGCAAAGGTGGCGCTGCCCACTCTGGGAGCCTTGCCTTGTTCCCCAGCTTCCCCGTCTGATGTTTCCTTGTTGTTGCCCCTGCGGTTGAGGGCACACGCCACAGTGGAGCCAGAGCTGGGATAAGCTCTCGGTGCTGTGGGCTCCTAAGGCCTTTGTGGCCCCACAGCTGCGGCTAGTCTCTGGGCCTCGCTGAATGGCAAGCCACCAGGTGTACCTCTAAGTGGCAAAATTAGGAGCCATTCAGCGTCTTAGCAGTGCAATTAGCTTTCCCAGTATGAGCACCGAGATTTTTTTTTTCTAATTAAAGCAGGAACTGTTTCTCAGTCTATAATAATCTCATTTAAAGCGTGTCCAAAACACTTCCCAAGCTTTGTTTCGGAGCATCGGGTCTGTGCGTGTTTTCAAACGAGGTGAAAATAGAACCCCGGGATGCCGTGTCCTCGATGGCTCCTCGACAGATGGGCTTGCAAGGCTAGGGCTGGGCCGTGGTGGTGCCGGGATGCTGGCCTCCCTCTGAAGAGTGGCTCAAGAGAGCGTGTGGAAGATACAAAGATGCCTTCCCTACAGGGGAAGCAGGTGTCTGCCTCCAGCACCGACAGCCACATGACACATGGATACGGATTTAGAGGCAAGTCTAAACATAGCACTAAATCAAAGCGTCGTCTAAGAGTCCCATACTCTCCCCTGACTTCTCCATGGCAGCAGCTCAGGTTATTTCTGTGGGCTCTGGGGGATGGCTCAGTGGTTAAGAGCTCAGAGGGACCTGAGTTCAATTCCCACTTGCAGCAGATCACAATTGCATGTAATCTGATGCCATTGGCTGATCTCCACAGGCACCTGTACTCACAGGCATACACCACACTCCCACATACATGTAGTTAATAATAATAATAATAATAATAATAATAAATAATGATAATATTTTAAAAGATTCTTTCTGAACCTCACTACGTATATACTACAATATTTTATTCTTAGGAGATTTCATGTGTGTACACAACATTTGATCATAATAACCTCTCCCTCTCTTATTCCCTCTCTGCCGCCTCTAGGATTCCTTTTCTTCCCAACTCTCCCTTCCTACTCTCATGTCTTTTATTTTAACAGGCCCCTGGATTTCATCAAGGCTGCTTGAATGAGCATGGGTGAGAGGGGTCAAAGGTTGAAGCTCGAGACCTGCCCCTGCCCTGCTCCTGCTCCTCTAACCCCTCTTACCTCACAGCCTTCCCAGACACCGGTAATGACCGTCCCACCCCGCTTGGCACGGCAATGCTCTCAGCCTTCCTTCCTGTGGCTGGCTGATTTCACTTGGCACAGTGTCCCCCAGTTCCACCCATGCCACAAGAGACAAGGCTGTGTCATTTTGATCTGTCTGTTTATGTACTGAGATGGGGTCTTTCTGTATAGCTTTGGCTAGCCTGAGACTTGCAGTGTAAGCCAGGTTGATCTTGAACTTGTGTTATCTTTGCCTCTGCCTCTCCAGTGCTGAGACCACAGGCACATGCTGCCGTACCTGGATGTGTGTATGTGTGTGCATGTGCACATATATAAGCACACACACATATACTCACAGTTCATTGTGTGCTCACACTGATACAAATACATACAACACAGAGAAGTCTGTTTATAATATATTTTGTCAAAGAATAAAATATATAGCTGGATTGTATAAAACATAATCATTTATGTTTAATCTGGCAGTGATCTATCTACAAATATATCCATCAGCCTATCTGTCTACCATCTATATTGTCTACCTGCCGTCTACCTATCATTCATCGGATTCTATTTCTCTTCTATATATCTATAATCTATCTTCTAGTTACCATCTTCCTCTCTTTCTCTACCTGCCCACCATACATTTTCTTACCCATTCCTCTGTCAGTGGACTCATGTGTTGGCTCATTTTTCTAACTATTATGCACCCATGCTGTTGTTGTGGAATATTACGTTGACTATGTAAAGATGTGTTACGTTTCTTCATGCTGCAGAGTATTTCTTTGACTGTGTGAAGGTGTGTTACATTTTGTTTATGCGGCCATTGTTAACGGTGCAAAGACGTGTTACAGCTGTTCAGGCCTCATTTGTTTAATTAGGTAGTGATGTGTTGCATTTGTTTCCGCCTTTCCTGCCTAAGGCATCTGATTGACCTAATAAAGATCTGAACGGCCAAGAGCTAGGCAGAGAAAGGATAGGTGGGACTGGAGGGCAGAGGGAATGAGTTGGAGAAATCCAGGCTCAGGAGAGAAGAAGACAGGAAAGAAAGGGACACACTTGGGGCCAGAAGCCAAAGCTATCAGCCAGCCAGCAGTGAAAGTAGGATAGGAAGAAAGAAAGAACTAAAGAAAAAAGGAAAGAGAGAAAGGTAAAAAGTCCCAAGGCAAAACATAAAGAGAAACAGATTAAAATAAAAACTGTGCTAAGACCAAGCATTAGTTTTGAATAAAATTAGCAATAAGTCTCCATGTCATGACTTGGGAACTGGTTGGTGACCCTCAAAAGAAAGCCTGGTACATGCTGTAACAGTCATGAGGACAGGTATCAGATGTCCTTCCCTTCCTACTGTGTGACCTAGGAGGGGCACAGGGTCATATCTACTATTTTGAGGCTCTGTTATCTTCTTTTTCTATAAAGGTGCTTCTAATCTGCATCCTCACCAACAGTATTTGAGAGCTCTGTTACCTGAATCCCATTTAGGCTGAGCTAAGCACAGCACAGGAAAGGAACCAGAGCTGCTATATTACATGTCCAGAGCCCTGGACAGCGCTCAGCGCCCTGCTCCTGCTGAGTCCGCGGTTATTGAGAGAAACTAGGAGAGTGGAGTCAGGAACTTGGACAGAGAAGACTATTACACCCCATGACATCCCTCTGTGCAAAGTGTCCCACCCACTTTTCTGACTTCTTTCTACAATAAAGCTAGACGGAGCCGAGACCTTTAGAAGATGCACAGGTCCTTGAATGGGATGGGTGGATGTGCTCAGTTATGTGGTTGGTCTAGCTGTAGTAGATTGTGGCATCACCTTGTCTCAACCCATTGCCTGTCTCCTTATCGAAAAGCTCATCTGTATGAGGGCATACTCAGGTAACAAAATGAATCCCGATGTCCGCCCTGTCTTATTCCTGCACACGAGGGTCAAGAAAAGGACAGCCAAACTCCGGGTGTCAACTGGAGTGTTGCAAGCCCCCAACTAATTAGGTGTCTTCTAATGCCAGCGTCCACTACAAGGACAGCCTCACTTGCCCCTCAGGGCCAATGACATGCTGTCTGCCAACGTTGCTCAGAGAAGGCAGAGGCTCCTCCCACACTGTTGCAGCTACAAAGTATCACTTCCTCTCCAGTTGTTTGAAAATATCTCTCTGTGGGAAAACTCATTGCCCCAAGGAGCAACAAAACAAGCTGGCATGGAAACCAAGAGGTACTTTCTTCTGGAAGCCAGTAGAGAAGTCAGCAGCCACTTGCCTGGGCATCCACACCAGGGACCGAGAGCTTCTGACCTTTACCGCTTGGAAGACAGAAAGGAGTGACTCTGAAGGCAATGAAAAGCCACTGTGAACAACGGAGAACACTGGCTGGTTGGGGGCTCCAGTCCGCCTTCAGGCTTGGGGAGGAAAGGCTGCATCTGCGATCTGAAGGTGCATGAAGCCTAGAGGGCTGGCTTACTCACAGCAAGCATTATCTCCCCGTCCATATGCCACACTTTCTATTTAGAGCTAATTTGCTCCAGCATGCCTTGCGCAGTCCCGAGGGGGAGAGGCTGGCTTTCGGGCACTTGGCCAAGCGGCCCCTTAGCCACCTTGCTCGTTGCAACTAGCTGGAACAGGGCCCATGCAATAGGCCCAGGGCAGGAGAGTTCCCTGAGAAGGTCTCTGGGGCTTTAGGCTGTGCCTCCTAGGAGTCTCTTATGAAGAAAGTCCCAGAATGATCTCTGCTGCTCCCACAGTGACTACGTCTCTTCTCTCTCCTGTTAGTTTTCTGTTGGAGTGCCAGAAATGGCCCCAGCATACAACATCTGGCTCCATTCATGCAGTTAGGAGCCTGGGCCTGACTCAAGTCAAGGCTCCTGCCGAGAGTCTGGGTGTGGCTCATTTGGGCACTCACTGTGCAAGGCTCAGGTCAAGGAGGTGACTGGGACCATGGTATTTTCTGTGGTTTAGTAGGGAAAGGAGGCTGGGCTTCTGTGGTGTTGATGGGGTGCATATTCTTGGGCTGTTTCTTGCTGGCTGTCAGCTTCTTGCCCTGCTCGCCCTGCAGAGCTCACGGTTGTGACTGTTCCCCCTCAGTCAGCCTGAGACGCAGCAGATGTGCAGTGTGATGGGAGTGAAGATGCCAGGCAGTGTCACCCTGTGTGTCCCAAAGCCTTCTCCATTTGTTCTGTCTCCGATTGACTGGAAGGAGGTCACACAAGCCATGCCCACACTAGAGGGGAGTTAATCCCATGAAGTCTTGGACTCTAGAGATGGGGTGCTACCTGCTTTTCTCCCCGCCCTCTGTAAGCTCCCACATTAAATGCCACCTTTGTCCTTCCAGCAAACTCCTGCCCCCCATGGTGGTGCCTGGATGCCTGCAGCGCTCTCCTGGAGATCAGAAGCAGATACAACAGCATGTGGCTCTAACTCAGGTCTGCTTTCCTCCCGCTGTCTCCCCACACTCTTTTGATGGTAGGCCTATTTTCTGGATCCTTGGGTAGAAGCAGTCTTTGCCTCCCTTCCCCTCCCTTCTTTCCAGACCCATCGAAAATGGCAGACTCCACTTCAAAGAAGTTTCAACCAGACACAGAGCGAGCCTTACCTCCACCCTGCCGTACCCCCCCCAATCAAACTGGTTATGCCACAATGGCTGAATCTACCGGCTTCCAGGCAGCTCACATGCCTGCCATTGCACCCAGTCTCTGCTCACCAGCATTCTGTGACTTCTATTATAACCAAATCAAACTCAAACTTATGGTTTGTTGGTCCATGTGTCCTGTGAGGGGGCTCTTGAGGGCTTCTGTGCATCTGTGGACAGGGCTTCCCCTCTGCTCACAACCCCCGGCCCTCACTCATTTCCCCTGCTGTTTTCAGACCATTCTTCTGCTGCACTGGTCCTTACTCGTGGCTGCAGAGCACAGAGCTAGGCCGTGCAGGACGATCTCCATCACTTGCCCTCCTCCCCAGTCCTGATATACAGGCAGTGCTCACTCCAGACAAAAGCTCTTAACGGTGTGCTCAACCTCCACGGAACAGTCAGGGTGACTTTCCTACGTGTTTACGTGAGCGTTCCTCGTGAGCATGTGAGTTCCATGAGACTGGGGACTGTGCATATGTCTGGGACACGGCCCTGAGGGGGAGCAGTGACCACAGAGCCCAATGATGCTAGCACTGATCTGCAGCGGCAGGGCCTTTGGGCCTTCCCACTGCCCTTGAAGGTGTGTGAAGACATCCTCACTCCGCCTGTCCTCACTCCCACACTTTTTTTTGTTTGTTTGTTTGTTTGAGACAGGGCTTCTCTGTATTGTTTTGGAGGCTGTCCTGGAACTAGCTCTGTAGACCAGGCTGGCCTCGAACTCACAGAGATCCGTCTGCCTCTGCCTCCCGAGTGCTGGGATTAAAGGCGTGTACCACCAACGCCCGGCACTCCCACACTTCTTAAGTCATCACACTAACCCTTCCCTGGCCCTGCACAACCTGTCTCCTTGAAGAGTCTTCTTTGTCTCCTGCCCCCCTCTCCTCCTGGGGCACTCTGAGGCCCCCCACTCCTCTGACACATGTACACTTTTTGGGGGAATGATCCTCCCCCATGTTTCTGGGTCTCAGTAGAGCATCAGACAGTGGCAGAGCCCATGACACCGCCTGTGGTGAAGCCTGGGCATTGGAAGTTACCTCGAAGTAGAGCCTGTCTGCAGAGCCAAACGCCTGTTCCTGCACCTGCCAGCGTTTTCCCTGTGGCCCTGGCAAATGCTGTCACCAAAGGGACAGTCCTCGTGCGTGCGCAGCGAGGCATCTATACCACCCACGTGCACCGCAGACAGGACCTCAGGCCTCCGTGGCCTTGGGGGCTTTCCAGGGTAGTGCCGATGAGCAGCCAGAACTCAGCAAGCTGAGTAAGCCTGGATGCAGTAAGCCAGAGCCTGCTTCTTTCCCCCTCTTCCCCCCCAACCGCGTGTGCATATGTGGGTCAGAGGTCATCCTTGGACATCATTCCTCAGTCATCATCCATGGTGGTTTTATAGACAGGGCCATTTATGGGAACTTGGTACTCTCCAATTAGCTAAGCTGGCTGCCTGGGGAGCCCATGGATTTACATGTCTCTGTTTCCCCAGTGCCAGGGTTCAAGCATGCACGATCCGTATGTGACTTGCTTACAGGAGTTCTGCGCATTCACCTCAGGTCGTCGTGCAAGGCGAGCACTCTACAAACGGGGTCGTCTCCCCTGCCCTTTCCCCGCCTTGTGCCAAGCCACGTCACACAGCCACCCAGCCACCAGGTTACTAAGCCCCAGGGAAACTCGATGCCCCTTTGGACATCCATTGGGTGTGACCTAAAAATCCAGAATTTTCCGTTCTAACCTAGCGCAAGGCTGCATTTCCCCAAACCACACTCAAGCTGAGCTTTCGATTTCCTTTGTGATCTGTGGAGATCTAATAAAGCTTGCCTGTGGATCAGAATGTAAAGCTAGCCACAGCTGCAGGGGTCAGGCAGTGGTGGCAGACACCTTTAATCCCAGGATTCAGGAGACAGAGGCAGATGGATCTCTTTGAGTCCAAGGCCACCTAGGGTTACATGAGAGTGAATCAGTCTGAAAGAGAAACAGAGCTCACGCCTTTAATCCTAGCACTAGAGAGGTACATAAGACAGGAGCAGGGTCTCAGCATTCAGTATTTGGCATCCAGTCTTAGGCAATCAATTTCCAGCCACGTTGAAGACAGGATCGCCCCAGCCTTGGTAGAGTCTTACGCTGTCTGGTTGCTTGGCTGCCTTGCCTCTCTGATCTTCAGCTTGAAACCCAATTATCTGTCTCTGGGTTTATATCATTTGTGCTACAATGATGTTCACCGTCTGATGGGGAAGTCCTTACGTTATGTTTTTCTCTTATTGGTTGATGAATAAAACACTGTTTGGCCAATAGAGGCAGGAAGATAGGTGGGACTAGAAGACTTGGAGAATTCTGGGAAAGGTAGGCAGAAAGAGACCACGAAGAGATATCATGTAGAGACCAGGAAGACAGACTGCACCAGACATTCTCTGGTAAGCCAAGACCACGTGGAAATACATAGATTTGCAGAAACGGGTTAATAATTAAGCCAGCCAAATGTCAGCATCCATTCTCTCTCTTCCTGATGGAGGATGCCGTGTGACCAGCTGCCTCGTGCTCCGACACCATGCCTTCCCCTCCAAATGGAACAAAATATGGGTCTGTTTTCAAATTGCTCCTTGTGGGGAGTTACTCTTCCACAGCAGCGAGAAGGAAAACAGGCAATCCTTCTAGACACTTAGCACACATTCAATAAGTTTAAAATCTGACTGGGAAGGCTAGGACTACTCTGTCCCAGAGTCTTCCCTTCAGTACGGTTCCTCCTGTTGTGGTGACCCCGCCAATTATTTTGTTGCTTCTTCATAAGTGTAATTCTGCTACTGTTATGAATCATAATGTAAGTGTCTGACACGCAGGATGTCTGATATGCAGTTCCCAAAGGGCTCACAGACCACAGGTTGAGAACCACTGCTCTGTACCGTTGTGGCTCGGAGGGTGGGCTTTCTGGTCAGGTTCTTGTGGTCTCTGATATAGAAACAGTGAGGAGAGAAAAGGCTAGACTCAGGCCCCGCCGTCTCCTACCACCTCCCTCTCTCCCCCAACTCCAAAGCACTTACAAGGGCTTCTCTGGTTTATGAAAATATCACTTCCCCTGAGAAAGGTTTTCAACACACTCAGAGGGCTTTATTATCTTCGGCTCAACCGCACAAAACAACATCTTCATAGCCAGCTTTACAGGAGTGCAGCTTCACTGGAGTCCTGGGAAGAGTAGGAACCCAGGGTTTCGGTTTCAATGGTCCCACCTCCAGGAAGCCTGCTGGAAGCTACACTGGGGTGGAGAGGGGGGCGGCTCGCTTGGCCCGAAGGATGCTTCAATGTGCCCATTCAGAACATTTTTCTTAATTTTCTTAAACCTGGAGTAGTTCCACCTTAAATTAATGTTAAACAGCTTTATTAAGGCAAATTGACTTCAATCTCTGGGCTCCCCAGGAGCTGGCAAGCTTCAGCAGGCTCCGGTGGCTTCAATGGGTTCTGAAAGCACTTGGCGGCATTTCACACGTCGAGGAACATCAAGGCTGGGAATACGAACGCCTGGATGATTAAGCTGCACTGTCCTCTGCTGGGGCTTTCATTGCTCACAGTAGGACTACTCCTAATGGTGGCCTTGTGGCTCCCATGTTTCTCACACTGTATCCTGCAGCCAGCTCATCGAAAGAGAAAACCAACCCGGGACCAGGTCTCCTGTGTTTCTCAGGAAGAAAGTGGGGCTAAGGAACGAACGCCATGGTGTCCTCGGTATCCTAGCAATGGCCTGGCTTTCTTTCTTCCTGTGAGAACCCAGGCAGACAAAGGTCCTGTCCTGAGCAACTGGGCAGAGTGTAAAATGGTGAGAGCACAGGGGACCAGAGAGCAGGGTGTTTGTAACTTGTGCTAACCTACACACAGGGCAGGAATGGTTGAGTCTCTGTGACCTGAACTCATCCTCACTCAGCTCAGGATCCTGCTACCTGACCATGGAGGGAAAAACGATTGCCTTGGTCTAGCTGGGAGAAGGAGAGGGAGAGGAAAAGGGAGAGAAAGAGAGGAGGGTGTTTAACATGCTGATGGCCCGGGTGAACTCACACAAAATCAAATAGATGGACAGCACGGGAGTGTGCATGTGAGTGTGCATGCATTTATCATCCTAGGTAAATGACGGACAGACACATGTGAGTGTGTGTGTGTTTTTCTGTGTGTGTAGAGGGATAGACCAATATATACACATGCATATGCTCATGTACACACTCACACACACAGATACATACATATGTGAATACTCATGTATACACTCACACACACATAGATATATACACATGTATATACTCATACATACAGGTATATACACACGTATATACTCATGTACACACTCACACACAGAGATATATACACATGTACATACTCATGTACACACACACACACACACACACACACACACACGCACACAGGATTTCAACGTTAAATGTCTCTCTCCCTGGATCCAGCAGCGGCGCACCCACAGCCTGCCTTGTTTTACATGGGTCTGACCTGCTCCTCCAGGTCCTCAGAGGGCAGACGGAGCTCAGCTGCCTCCCATTCGCTTTTCTCTGGGTGAGCAATTTTGCCTCCACTGGGCAGACAGCTGTGCCTCCTGCTGTACCCCAGTAGGCAGTGCAGGGCATTGCCAGTTGCTGCAGAGCTGTTTAAAGTGCTGACGGTCCCTCTCATGCCCACACAGCCCTTATGGACTTCCAAGCCATGCTTCCAGGGCGTGCCCACCTCCCTCCGTGTAAAGCCCACCTGACTTCGGCTAAGAAGCAGCCTTGGTTTCCTGGTCTCTCTCATCTTTCCTGACTTGTCTGTCATGCCTCACGGGTGACCGCACGTTGTGTAAAACATCGATTCTTTCCAAATCATGCCTTGACCCGAGATTCCACTTTGAAGATGGAGGATCAATGGACACCTGGATGGACGCTGTAGACACCGCCAAATTTGTGGAAGTGAATTGGGACAGTGGGATCACACAGTCTTATTAAAAAACGACATCAGGGAAACCAAGGCCGAGAACCTAGCACACCAGCCTGAGACAAGACCGCAGCCTTCACCTGGATTCCATTTATAAAAACTAAGCAAACACAAAAATTGAATGGCAATGACAACAGCCCCACTGGCCTGTCTTCTGATGCCCTGG